CACCACACACACAAAAGACACAAAAACACACAAAGCACAGCAAACACACAAAACAACAAAAAGTTTTAAAAGACACAATGTTATACAGAAATATATGTGTAAAAATAAAATTTAAATATAAAAGAGCAACAGGAGTAAAAGGTCATAGAGATAAAAAATTAGATAAAAGGATAAAACCACACCAGGGACCAAGTGCAGATCTGCCCGGAAGACACACCCCATATAAATAAATGTCCCGTAAAGATCCACCAGAATCGCCAGCAGTAGAAAACAGCTGCCAGACCGGAAAAGGACCAGGATACATGGGGCAAAAACCGAAAGGTAAATTAAAGGGATTTCTGGGAGAGCGGTATTAAAATTCTAAAATAGTATATACAAGCAAGTAAAATACAATTAAAACATAAAAATTTATATGAAGTGAAAGCTAAAATCCAATGAAATGAGAAAAATATGCAAAATAAAAAGAAAAGGACAACAGATGGAATAAGGTGAAGTCCGGGAATAACGGAGTGGCCTTCACGCCTTGGGAGGCCCTACCGGGAGAATACACTCCCGACGTACTTCACCCACTCCTCCCGGACGCACCCCCCAACCCAGGGTAAAATCCCACCGTGACCAATCAAAAAATTTATGAATAGAATGAGACAGGTCATGAAAGACCAATAAAAATTTAAAAATATGAAATGCAAAAGGTCGGCAAGAGTTAATTAAGGTCGAATAAAAAACAGCAAATCTGGCATAGCCAGAAAGTCAAATAACTAAACAACAACAAATATTAAAAACAGACAGATAAAATTCACTCCAAGGAGAGACATCTAAAAAGACCGTGCAATCAAATGTAGAGTAAAAGCGGAAACATTCCGCAACGGTCAAAGTCAAAAGAACAAATTAAAAAGACCAGCAAAAAACAAACACAGAAAAGAAAACACTAAGAAGACCTGTCCCGGGTCAGTGAGTCGCAAATCCCCGTACTAACCCTAAAAACCTCACTGATTTTAGTGACAGCCTGCCTGCTTTGTAGAAGATTGCGAAACTAGGCTTTTTTATGTGCATCTGCAGGTCTACGGAGATGAAGGTCTTTGGTGAGCGAGCACGAAAAAACATAAAATACGATATCATTGTAATCAAATCAATTAATATAAAATGCTGGTTTTCGTGCGGTTCGGTGGTCTAGGGGTATTTTTCTCGCTTAGGGTGCGAGAGGTTCCGTGTTCAAATCCCGGCCGAACACAATGGGATTTATTTTTTAATGCTCTCTCTAGTACGATATCATTGTAAACAAATTGATTAATAGAAGAAGCTGAAGTTTGGGCTTGTGTGGTTCGGTGGTCTAGGGGTATGATTCTCGCTTTGGAATTGCGAGAGGTTTCGAGTTCAAATCCCGGCCGGAGCAATGGGATTTATTTTTAATAATTCTATCTAGTACGATATCAATGTAAACAAATCGATTTATTAGAGAAGGAAAGCTGCTGTTCATTGCAGTTCAGTGGTCTAGAGTATGATTCTCAGTTACCCAGGGTGCAGGAGGTCCAGTTTCAAAATCGCGGTCAGATTGGTGGGATTAATTTAATGCTCTCTCTAGTTCGATATCATTTGCAAGAACAAATTGATTAATAGAAAGTGCTGTTGTTCGTGCGGTTCGGTGGTCACAGAATTTATGATTCTCTTCC